ACTTTCAATTGATTTTGTTACCAGTGGGTTTTTGATAGCTCCCGTGTCTTCAAGGTCACTTAGGTCTTGAAGCACATTCTCCACAGCTTGAATTAATTCTACTATATTCCATGGCTGATGACTTCTCACAGCTGCCGTTTTCAGCAGTTCCACTACTATCTCAATGGCAATGGATGTTTTGACTGCCATAGCGGTTTTCTAGGACACGGAAGATGTCATCTACAGTGTTGTAACTAGTAAGGCGTAGAGCTTTTACATTTTGGCATCAAGACTTTCGAGTAATTGAACCTTTTTCACCTCTCTGGAACCAGTTGTTTCTTCCTGGATCTGGAGAGCTTCCCGGTCCTTCCTTCACCTATGGAAATTGCGTTCGTTACCAGTGAACTTGGAAAGGGCCGTCGGTTTCAGTTTAAAGGTTGGCATGGGATAATCAAAGATAACTGCTTTTATTTTTGCCTGTATGAACTCGGCCTTTCTGGAAACCAACATGAGGATGTAGAGTTCAAGCTCTTTTGATCGACTTTCTGAATGTTTTTCTGATCTTCTGCAGGGATCCATCATTTCCACCTGCTGTGCACCTCTTTTGCTGTCTTTGCCAGTCCTTGTAGGTGGTTGAGCATGAAGTCATACGCCTCTAGGTTGCTACTGGGTTCTACTGCAGCAACACGCTCAGATTTGGCTTCTGCCACCTGTAGTGTAGTGGATAATTCACCAATCCCAAAGTTGGACTACAGGGCACCCTAGTGTGAGCTTATTGAAACTGTCTCTTAGTTCCTCTTCAGACATGTCTTTGTAGGTCCTGGTAATACTGCCAGCTAAATGAGAGAACAATCTTTTTGCTGTCATTCATTCCACCTCGAGCCGTTAAACTGACTTCCCAATAGCTTGCTTAGCAATGATTTGCTTTCACCTGTGAGATGTTTGCAGATTAGGAGGTAAACATGATTTTTTTAACCCTTTTTTTTTCAGAATTTTGGTTTACTGCTCCTTTTTGTTCCAACCTGGTTTCACTGGTTTTTCACTGTCATTATTTTCTTGAATCTGCACAGTTTCCCCACTATTGAAAGCTATTGATTTATCTTTATGGAATTTTTTAACTAGGTTTCACTCAATGACTAAACAGGTTTTCTTCCTTTCTTCCTCTTTTTTCTTTATTTGGCAGGTTCAGTAGCTTGACACGGTAGCTTCACTGTTTCATTGAATAATAATTCTTAGCTATGAGCCTTCTGAGCCAAGGTCTTTTAGAGTTCACACAGAAAAACAGAATAATAAAAAACAAACACAGCATTTGTAAATATATCAAGAAACTATCAAGCTTCAGTGTCTTTCACTTTTCAGTGTATTAACACATGCTCTTATACATCTCCTCATAAACATGAGCAAAATTAGTGTATACCGCTGTTGTGACTTAACATTTAACGTGTGCAGCCTACTGCGTTTTAACACAGGATGCTTTGTAAACAGTCATTTAAAGTGATATCAAACTACGCAGACTCTTCAACAGTCCAGCTAACTTGCATGAAGCTGAAAGCTAACCTAAACAAGGCACCGGCAAACAGGCCAGTGTAGCTGCAAACTAGCTTAGCAGCGGTGCTAAGCTTCATCTGAGAAACGGTTGTTATAATGCTGCATCTTACTGGCTGCCTCTCCACTTTGCAGATATATATCAGTCCTGTACAGCGCTACAGCAAACCACGACACTGGTAGAAGTAATTTCGGCAGTATTTCCTGATAGCACGGCGATTGTGGCTACAGCCTTGTCTGTTTCATCGAAGCTGCACGCTGTTCTCTTTTTTCTTTCTTTCTTTTTTTTTTTTTCAAACCTGCGCGCTGTTTTTTTCCTTTTCGGACGGCTCTCAACCAGATTAGTTCCATTTAGATTGCTTCCTACATATTTTGCTCTTCAGTAGATTCTTGGCGTTACTTTACTCATTAATTTATGCATTTTTTACTTCAGTCCAAGCTTCAACCCTCAGAAAACAGAGTTTGACTCTGCAGTGTTGAATGGCAATACTGAGAAAATATAATTTTACTCAGAAGTAATTTATGATTAATTTTCACTACTTATTTGAATAGGTCACTCAGCTGATACACAGTTAAATATCTTCATGAAAGCTTGAATGTGTAAATCCTTATAGTTTCAGCATGGACTGAATAATTATGTGTGCAGTGTCCCTTTCCAGTTTGAATAATTGTCCCAGTCTGGCCCTGATGGTTCTATATGGTGAACATGCATGATTGACATCCCTCAGTCCAGTCGTCCCACCTGTTGCGCCACTGAAGCAGAACTAAACACAACAGCGAGAAAATAAGTAAGCAGACTCCGCATACAGTGAGGAGAAACAAGTATTCAGAGTGTTTATTCAAAATGCTTCCTGTGCTTACAGTACAGTGTCCTAGACACATAAGCAAATTGTTCAAAGCTATTTGTCAACAATGTGTGTTTTTGCTTATATAAACACCAAATAATATAATAAATGCAAATAATTATAAATACAGTAAAAAGTGACAAGAATATATCATCTTAAGAAAAGTTGATATCTTTTGATTTCTTTTATTTATTCGGTAACAATTTATTGTAGGGTACTGTTCATAAGGCTACTTGATGCCTACTAAAGATTGTTATAAGAACTGACATTACCCTACAAAAATTTTTAGAAATGGTTATTCAAAAAGGCATTATCTGTTGTTAAGGCTACCTTAGCCAACTTAGATCAAAATTGGCAGATATAACCTTTATGAATGACACCTGTTGGAGTAAGCATTTATAAACATATAAATAGGGTTGTCAGTTGTCATGACAAGCTTATGTAGGTGTCATGTAGCCGTATGAACAGTATCATCACTCTTGAAAAAAGGTTGGTGCTTCAAGGGCTCTTAAGTAAAGAAAATGGTTCTATATAGAACTATAAACCCTCAAAGAATCCTTTACATGATTAAAGAGTTCTTCACGTCGAGAAATCGGTCTTCAGATTGATGGAGAATGTGTATATGGTTGTATATAGACAACCTTTTTCAAAATGTTCTATATAGCACCGAAAAGGGTTCTTCTGTTACAACGTCAAGCTTGTAACAATAGAAGAACCCTTTCTGGTGCTATTTATAGAACCTTTTTCAAAATGTTTCTATATAGAACAGTCTACAGCTCATTCTCCATCAGTCTGCAATAGGGGTGGGAATCTCTAGGCACCTCATGATTTGATTCGATTATGATTCAGAGGGCTGCGATGCAATTATAAAATGATTATCGATGCATCTTGATGCATCTTTTTTTCTATACAGGATTTCGTTGTTTCTCACTATGTGACAACTTGGAACTTTTAAAGCAAAGTATTTGTAATGATCCATAATGAATTTACTTTCAGTATCTTTATTAATAAATCAAATGGAAGCAATGTGGCAAGTCAACTGGAAGGCTCTCATTCACTGCTCTTGTTTGGAGCACATGAGACGCAGGCTGTCACTCATCTGCAATAAAATGTGCAGTTACGGTGAAATCCTGTGGCAGTGGATGTCCACACAGCAGATTACAGCTATTCTACTCGTTTTCTTCAGTGATTCCATAACTCCAGTTTGGTCTCATTGTAGAGAGTGGGGGGTCCCTGTATCTCTGCTCCAAAGTGTGCAACAGCGCAAAAGCCCTGGTTCTCAACAACTGAGTACGGATGCAAATCCTTGGCAATAAAAGTTGCGATAAATAAAAGTTTGCTTCGTCCTTTCTGAGTTGGGTGGAAGCTTTGACATCACTTGATTGATGGTCCTCTGCTTGGCACCAACTATAACCGGGCGAAAATGGGTGGAAAGTAAATATGGTTTTCTCCAAGCCAAAGTGCTTCTATACGCTAGCTCAAAGGGACAGCAAAACTAAAGCTTAAAGCAGAGCAAAGTAAGTCTGTGTTTTTGTTTGTATTATAATTTTAGCCTACACTAGAACATTAGCATGTACTGAGACACATGTACAGCCAAGATGGTAAAATGGACTCAAAATGTTGTGGCTCCCAAGGTGGTTTGATTTTTGTTGAAAAGACAAAATTACCCTTATTAACATTTGGATTGCCAACACCTGCACTAGCTTTTAATGGAGTGTGCACGCGACAGACTGTCTGGGCGCTGCACTTACGCATTTTGCAAAGTTCCGCTTTTGCGTTCATCAACATTACGTTATCAATTAAAATTTAGAAATCGATTTTTGACATTTGTGAATCGATTCACAATCATCCATGTCCGCATTGCAATGCATTTAAGCATCAATTTTTTCCCCCCACCCCTAGTCTGCAACCACAATGCTACAGAAAACTAAGCGCATTTCTTACCTTAGACTTCTCAAAGCTGTAATTGCCAGTTTGTAACATAGTACTAATTAATTTGTGGTGTTTCAGTCCTTTTTTATTCAGCTCTTAAATGTATCTTTGTTTATACTTATAAATACATACTTTTTTGATCATATTGGTCAGTCTGAAGACATTGGCCCTCAATCATCAGAGTTGCTTAAAAAAAGCGCAGATTTGACTGCCTTTAGTGATGTACTGTCTGATTTGTGAAACTTTTGTTAAAGCATGGAAAGTGGAGATTTAAGAGCAAACCATGAATAAGCATCAGTGTGTAAAATCAATCACCAGCCCACCAGTACCTCATTTGTATAACTTTTACACGAAACATGCCCTAATTTTATGAAGATGCTTTGATAGGGAGCCAACAAAACAGCAGCACTCAGCAGCTGGTGAGCCAATAGCTGTGCCATAGGTGGAGATTAACGTCCAGCAATGAGTGCCCTGCTCCCCCTACTGACCAAACTTTATAGTGGTAAAATTATTACTCTAAAGAATAAAATGTGAAATAAACGACATCTTAGTTTTATTCAGTTTTATTTAAACAGTAGAATGATGCTTGTAGTGTGATTATGTTCCTGAAATAACATATTTACATGCTGTTTTATTGCAGTGTATATAATGGTTTCTGCATTGCTGTGTATTGTGTATTTTGGGCGGTGTAAGTGGTATAAAACAAAAGCACAGTGTAATATGTCTTTAAATGGAACATGGAGTTGTTGCAGCATTTGTTCATACCAGCATGCATGTAAAATAAATGCGTCCACTTTTGTACTGGCATGCCATGTGCAGAAATTGTTAGTATTATTGTTTCCTGTTTTGCACTTATTGGTTTATTGATAATACTGATAATAGTGTTTTGTTAGTTTACTGAAAATCAGTCTTTTTTTTCAGGTTAAACTATTGCGCTCAACTTTACACACACACCTACCAGACATTTTATGACCAGATAGTGTGACCAGTTGAACGAACAAACAGACGAGGGGACATTTTTGCTAGCTCAGTAATGCTTGCTAGGTTAGTTTTTGCTCAGTCATTCTTTTTGTAAGTTTCTCTGACTCAAACAGAGGGAAAAAAGACTGTAGGGGAGCACAATTTTTTTTTTTTTGGCAGGACAACCCACATCAGCCTTGTGATTGGAGAGGATACTGCTTATGTGTACGTGACCTAATATTAGGAGTGCTATTAATATTAATATTAGGACTGTTATTATTTAATGGGCATTGGACAGTTATTCATGGGATGTACTTTGTACATGTGTATTGAGTGCAAGATTAACCTGCGTAGAAAAGAAGCAACAATGTAAGTTCCCTGAGGCTTTAACAAAAAAAAAGTATTTTTTGTTGTTGTTAGTCGGACACCCTTGGCAACATTCCATGAAGGGAAGCACAACATATCTCACATGGACATGGACCCAGCCAGAGGCCTCATGGTCACCTGTGGAAGTGACCGTGTTGTTAAGGTCATACTTATATACACACACACACACACACACACACACACGCGCACACATATATATATATATATATATATATATATATATATATATATATATATATATATATATATATATACACACACACACACAAAAGAATTCTTACCGTTTGTGTTTGTTTGTTTGGTTCTCCCCACAGATCTGGGACATGATGCAACTGGTTGGCTGTAGTATAGCAACAGGCCTCTCACACTGAGTGAATGGACAGGACACCTCGCCCACACATTTTACCCACTGGGAAAACCCTACCAACTCCCACTTTGTCTCTACAGTTCTACTCCTGAACGTGTATGTGTGTTTTTAGGAGGCTGTCAAAGATCAACTTATAAGGTTGGCTGTTTGTAACTATGATTTGTAACTATGATAATTGATCAGCCATAGCTCATAATGTCTTAATTTGGGAAAAGTCTTTCCCTCTGAGTAGTCAGACATGAACTGAAGGCATTACTAAGCACAGTTGTGTGTGTCTTGTTTTTGACAATGACGCCTGTCGTAACATGCATGATAACTAACTTTTATATTTCTATATAATTGATTTTGTCTGTCAAGGCTCGCTCTAACTCTTGCCTTACACGTGTCTTCAACTCAGGGAAAGCACAATTAAGCATAACGAAATTGTGCTTAAAGAATCAGTCCATATGATAACTTGTGTTGCCATGACATTTAAGACCCTTCTTTCTATAAGATGTTTCAGTAATAGACAAACATGGTCTTCATGCTTGATGTCAGAGAGGGGTCCACAATAAATTGGTGGCTTATTATTATTATATTGTCATCATGAAATCAATATTGAAATTATTGAAAATTACAACCAATAATTTAGTGCACATATAGTTACTAGTGGTGAATTCCCTTCGTTTAAACTTGCACAGATATAGTAAGTAGTGCATAGTTCGGTTCGCCCTCTTGACAGGAACATCACTGCTAAGTGACGCTTACTGCACTTCATATATTGATTGTAGTGTGAACTTGATACAAAAAAATAAAATGATTAGTTATTCATATTGGTATTGAATGCAATAAAATGTTCCTGTATAGCATAGAAACGCATGCAAGAAACATCAGTGCATCCCTAAAATCCATTTTATATGTACCTTGATTTTGGTTATTCACAAGGTTCTATGAATTAAGATGATAATGATTCATTGCTATGCAAAGCTCTATTCCTATACCATAGAGTGAGCATTTCTTTGAGAGGTTGGAAAGCTGAAACCTTGGTTTTGAAGGCATTATAAGGCAGAGAATGCTTTTGGAACACTTTGAAATGACTATACATGCCTAGAGCTGTTTAATAAGAGCTGCCAGTTAAACATCTCACATCTTGCCTTCTTTCTCTTTTGCTGTAATATCTTGTAGACCTTTGTTTCTGCGTATGTATCGGTCACTCTGTTTTGACTTTGTTTTTCTTTCATTGTCCTCTGCTTTTCTTTGCACTTATGTGAGTGTGTGCTGTGTGGGTGTGTGTGAGAAGTATTTCTAACTATCCCTGTGAAAGCTAAGCACTAGCCTTATAATAGGTCTAAAATGGGCACTGCCATTTCACTTATAAATTCCATATAAATTCAATCTTCATTCCAGCAACCTAATGTAAATTTTTTTTTTCCCTGTCATTATTTGTAGCATTAGTTTATGTAACTGGATGTAGATCTAGTTATTGAGTACCCTGATCTAGCATGTGCAACAAAATTTCATCAGCGGATGTAACTATATCTGGCTGCTTGTTGTGACCTCATGTATGTACATGGCTTGACCTGAAATGCTGAACATCATGACAGTACATTTTTATTGTGTAACTGAGAAGATTGAAGTGCCAGGAAACATTTTAGGCATATTGTGAAGATATTTTAAATTTGTTTACAAACAGCAGAAAAATAATATTCCTCTTTTGCTGCATCCATCTGTCAGCAAGGAGTGGGAGTACTGTTAAATGGCATAGTTTACGTTCAGAGTTTAGGAAGTGTGTTCGATGGAATGATTTCTACCATCTAAAGTGGAAAATCTAACCTACACAGATGCAGAATTTATACTTTAATAAAATTTTCTTTCAAACCAAACCACCAAGATGAAAAGCTCTTCAGTGAGAAATCTGATTGTGTTGCTGCAAAGAAAATCAACTTTTTAACGTTTTAATATATATATTTTTTTAAACACACTGCCACATGTGGGATGTTGCAGTTGCATTGTTGTATGTTGTAATGCTCCACATGTAGTAAAAAAATGAGAACTACTCCCTCACAAATTGTAATATTTCAGCCCTGAATTGAGGCCATATGAAATATTAAGGGCTGGTTATCTGAACAAATTCAGTGGTTTCTGCTGATGTTAAATTTTCAATGCAGAATTATCATGAACAGGGTATTTTAGGACAAAGTGTAATCTTGGACAGAAAACCATTGCAATTTTTCTTTATTTCTTATTTTCTAATGTCTTTCATTTTATTACTTGGATTAGTTTCAGTAGTGACAGTAGCAAAAGAAAAATGAGTTTCTCTGTTGTACAGCTTTAACATGTATTTATACTATGACTGACTCCTGTTGATAATACAAACAGTGACTTGAGTCTCCCAGTGGCTGAGACTTAAATAAATATTAGTCCCCATCCTAATATTGAGTTTGATTGCTTGTTAATTAGTTTAAGGCAAAGTTATGGGTGCATGGATTGTATTTGTTCCAAAATGCTTCTTATGTCATCTGACTGTATTTTACATGTTTTTCTCACACACAGAAATAACACATTATATAGGAATTTATTAATATTGCATAAAGGATGATAGAACACAGAGCAGTTATATCATCGTCAGTAACTATTTCCAGTGCACCAATCCTATCTACAGTTACTTTTTGAGGGCAACTGAAAAATCACTATACATGAACTGGGCTGTTCAGGCCCTGACACACCAAGGTGAGAGTGTTCTCTTATTAGCTGTCCAGCCTATCCGGTTGGTGCATGATAAAAAAAAACAGAAGTGAGCAAAGCAAGCAAATGACTTCCTCAAGAGGACGCAGCGTATGTAATTGTTCAACAACAGTGCAAACAGGAAAGGCTTAGCTCTATGAATGTGATTTGTAAAAAGTTTTTGCTTTGAATATGCCAACAAGAAAATGTCTAAGATTGCTATAAATAAACAAGGGTACATGAGACATATGGAGGTGCTTAGGCACAAAAACAGCTGTCCATTAAATAAAACATGGGATATTCCAGTCATTTCATACTTTGTCATTTAAACATAAACGTGCCAGCTGCACAAGTCATTGCAACATGTAATGTATAACTTCACAAGTAAATATAATTCTAATTTTTGCTATCACCCATATGAGATGTACAAGCTAATGAGTATAGTGCTACTTAAAACAAATTTAAAGTTTGTAAAACATTCCAATAAGATTTCCTTCATGTTGTCTTGCAGTTTTACAAGCATATTTCAAATGTTTCAATGTACCTGACTAAATATTATTCCTTTCTTTTTGCATACAAATTCAGACTACTTTACGTCCTGCTATGGAGAGTTATTTCCTGTCATGCAGACGCAAAACTTGTATGCCTCGGCCATCAGCTGTAGTCATTGTGCCATGTTCCGTGTTCAAGTGCTGCTTTTCATAGAAGTCAAGAAGAGACAGAGAGGTCACCGAAGGCGACGATCATCCTTGTCAGCTTGGTGTGTTAGGTCCCTAAGGGAACCCTGGAAATATGTCCAGGGACTGGTCAGACAAAGCCTTTCATTAATCAGAATGCACCTGAGACTAAGTCAGGTGCCACGCTGATGAGGGAGTGATTGACAGCTGCCATGACTTTGGTCAGAGCAGGTTCCCACCTGGTCGACCTGATTTGCTGAAGTCACTGTCACAGCATGTTGAAGGTACACTGTGGGTAACTGAGGTGTGACCTGTCATATTTGGATCAATTTGCTATCAAGAACAGCAGGCATCTGTAGTAACAGAGGTTAGAGGTTGGAGAGTGAAGCAGTCGATTTATTTGTTGAACTAATTTTACGTATTTATGACACCAACAGCTTCACACTCACAGTCCCAGTGGAAGCATAAAATTTAAGGTTGATTAATAATATTAGACAGTCAGTTAAAATGATCCATCTGTGTTGGACAGGGGTGGGTGTGTTAGTGTTTTTGTTCAGTTAGCTAAACTGTATAGTGTTTGCATGTTATTCAATCGGCACCCTGTATGTATATACAGGAAACTGTTCTCTGTGTGTTGCGTGTTTAAAACTTAATGTGTTTCAACATGTTTACTGGTGTGGGTGTTTTGAGCAGTGGGCAGCTCATGGCCTATTTCTGTGTGGAAGCTGGTGAGTTCAATGAGGTTGGAAGCTCTTTCCTATCTCCTCCATGACACTCATAAACTTCTGGTCTTCCGTTTGTGAGCTGTGTGTCCAGGCCAGTGGCAGATGGGCTGCTACCATCTTCCGATCTATCAAACATGCATATAGACATAGACAGACAATCTTGATCAGCTAATGCAGTTGTGGGGGGAAAAACCCTGAAATTAGATAAGGGAACTAATGGGTCAGTGAAATGTGCTCATGCACATGACCTAATGATAACATATGTGTGTGTGTGTGTGAGTAACGAGTGGCAAACCAAGTGCTACAAAGTCTTTCTGAGGTCACTCTAGTCATGTCTGGTACGAAGGCCTGACTCCTACAGCTGCACTGGACTTCTGCCATCTCATTTCACATCTCTCTCTCTCCCTCTCTTCTTTGTCACTCACACTTTGTTTTATTATCTGTTTCTCCATATTCCTCTCTCCGCTGCAAGAGGCAGCAGCTTCTAGTCTTTTGAAAAACAAATCTTAGCGCTGTGTTCATTCCCCAGGATGACAAGTGCGTAATATAGATCATCTGAAGAGACTGCAAATCAGAAACAATACATAATGGTTTTTATCACTCTCACTCTCCCTCCTCGCTGTCTCTGGCTGGTTCCAGGGAGAGTGGTGCTTTTAACTCCTTTGCAGGTAGATGGTAAACGGACTGCAGAGGATGTGGAAAGTTGCAATTTTGAATAAACACAGACCTGCCAACCTTGGGAAAATATTTAGCATTAATAATGTTAGCCTAACGCTAAGTAATTGGCAAGCTTGCTTGCTTGTTCACCAGGCATTTCAGATGGCAAAGCAATGTTGTCATATTGTCGCAGATTGTTAAACATGACTTTTCACAGTACTGTATTCATAATTATCATTGCAGCCAAACACATAATTGTGATCAGCAGATCATGTGCCTAGAAAATACATTACCTAAAAAGTTACTGGGAGGTAGATGTGTGTCTGTCTGTCTGTGCATGCGTGCTTGTGCCTTACAGTTAAAATAAACACAACGTCAGATGAGGTGGACACTGACAGGGAGAGAGAAAGAGAGAGAGCAACTGACCCTGTTGAATAACCAAACTTGATATGGTAGCAAGTGGAGAAATGGCTGTGTGCTAAGAGAAGTGTTTTTTTTTCTCCCAAAGTTGGCAGGTCTGTTATTGTGACTGCGCATGTATAGCCCCTTTGTATAAAGAGTGCTACAATTGGTTAAAACAGAACCAGTTGTAAAGGTTCTATAAAGAACTTTATGCAACATATCCAACAGGCCCTCCATCATTGAGATTATACACAAGAACAAGTTATCCACACAATAAAGAACAAGTTATCCACACAAAAAAGAATTATTTAAGCATTCACATGATTATCTAAATTGTCATGGATTAATATAACCATTGCCTTTACTGAAGACACTATTTTTTTTTAACAGAAGATATACACCGATCAGGCATAACATTATGACTACCTCCTTGTTTCTACATACATTGTCCATTTTATCAGCTCCAGTTACAATATAGGTGCACTTTGTAGTTCTACAATTACAGACTGTAGTCCATCTGTTTCTCTGCATACTTTGTTAGCCCCCTTTTACCCTGTTCTTCAGTGGTAAGGACACCCATGGACCCTCACAGAGCAGGTACTATTTGGGTGGTGGATCATTCTCAGCACTGCAGTAACACTGATGTGGTGGTGGTGTGTTAGTGTGTGTTGCACTGGTCTGAGTGGATCAGTCACAGCAGTGCTGCTGGAGTTTTTAAACACCTCAGTGTCACTGCTGGACTGAGAATAGTCCACCAAACAAAGATAACCAGCCAACAGTGTCCTGTGGGCAGCGTCCTGTGACCACTGATGAAGGACTAGAGGATGACCAACACAAACTGCAGCAGCAGATGAGCTGTTGTCTCTGACTTTACATCTACAAGATGGACTGACAAGGTAGTAGGGGTGCAGGAAAAAATTGATTCTTAGATGCATCGCGATGCGGACGTGAACAATTCTGAATCGATTCACAAATGTCAAAAATCGATTTTCTAAATATTTAATTTATAACGTAATGTGGACGGAACGCAAAAGGCGGAACTTGGAAGTGCGGAAGTGCAGCGCCCGGACAGTCTGTGGCGGCACGTAACAGGTCAGGTCAGGAGTCACAACCCAAATGTTAGCATTTTGTCCTTTCAACAAAAATCGAACCACCTTGGGAGCCGCAACATTTAATGTCCAGTATGTGTCAGTATGTGATAATGTTCTAGTATAGGCTAAACAATATAAATGAAAATGCAGATTTACTCTGCTCTGCTTTTAGCTTTAGCTATAGCCGCTTTCCTCCCATCTCCGCCAGAAAACTTTTCCTCAGAAGTAGATCAGTTAAATGTCTCTCAACGTTCGACTGTTTTACGAGGATGAAGTCGCTTCTTATTCTCCAGCTTCTTGTGTCAAATTTACCCGTTCCACCTTAAATTCTAACTGAGGCGCCGAATGTAAATGCGGCACCGTTTAAGGTGGACCGGGAGAATTCGAAAAAGAAGCTGACCTCAGCTTCGCCACTTTTTAGTGTGTGACGGGCTCTAGTTGCAGATTTAACATACCAGGAAACCAACTGCGCTGCTTATAAATGCGAATAACGCATCACTGCTATGTGACCTGCAGTCTGCACGCTGGTTCTCAGTCGTTGCAAAACAGGGCTTTCGCGCTATGTTGCACACGTCCCGTCTCAGAGATACTTTACTGACACAGCAATCAGAGAACAAGACCAAAACCGAAGTTATAAAATCACTAAAGAAACCGGGTAGAATAGCTATAACGTGCTGCGTGACATCCATTACCACTGGATCTTAATTCACCGTAACTGCGTATTTTATCGCAGATGAGTAGCAGCAGCTTCTTGTGCTCCAAACAAGAGCACTGAATGAGAGCCTTCTAGTTCACTTGCCACATCACTTCCATTTGTTTTATTAAAAAAGATATTGGAAGTAAATTCATTATGGATCATTACAAATACTTTGCTTTAAAAGTACCAAGTCACTTTAAATAACAATAACACCGAGTTACTTAGTCACTTTAAAATGTATATTGTCTCTATATTCTGTGTATATTTTGTGTATATTTTGTGTATATATTTTTATTTTTACTTATTTACTTTCTGCAGAGTGATTTCCTGTGCCTCACCACAAGCATTTCAATGCATAAATGTCCTGACATGTTGTGCAAGTGACAAATAAACTTGAAACTTGAACTCGAAACTTCAGCTCACACAGTGAGAAAATATAAATGCTATATAGAAAAAAAAG